CATGCTGTCATACTGTATGCTAATTTAAACATGCCCTAATCTAACCATCATAAGCGGGTAAATAAAAGGGAGAAAGACGTGGGGTTGGAAGACATACATCACATGCACACACACTTATTATAGTTGTGCCCTCGCTCGGAGCGTCTGAATAAATAATACAGTCCGAATGAATAATTACAGTCTGAATAAATAATTACAGTCCGAATAAGTACAAAATCCTAATTAATTAACAACTTAACTAGGAAAGCGAATAAATTAGCATGCAAGCTATGGACCGTCTCAGCTCTGTTCCGAATGATGAATGATGCATGTTCGAGTTGCCTTGCACGAAAATCTATTGCGATGCCCGATTCGCCTCTATTTACACTTAATCCCGGAATGCTGTGCGAAGCTCCATAAGGCTGTTGATTTCTGATTTGCTGCAACAGAGAGCAAGAAAGGGGAATGACAAAGTATTTCTACATATGTATGCATGACTACTCTTCAGGGAGTGTAGTCCTCGATCCTCGTGCCACCAATCACGCATATCGATGCATGATGGCCGAGGAGTCGAATTGCACGACTCAATGTGAAATGAATGCACATGAAAACACAACAAGACCTAAACTCCATCATGGGTAATCCGGAGTGTCGGCGACCGAGGAATTGACACACGTTCTGTCACTTGGAGTACGAAACGTCCCTCGTTTCCCGTGCTTGGGCTAACTCCTATCCCAAACACAATGCAAATGAAATGGCATACACAATGCGACTAACATATAACCTAGCATACGCAATGCTATGAAATGGCATACACAATGCATAATGGCTTACACCAATCATGAGTGGACCTCAGCCACACTCACATCAGTGGCCATAAGATGAAAATGAGACAACCGAAATGCGTGCACACATGCACACAAACCGAGGACCGAACCTAAGGCATTAAATGCCACGCTACCAAAACATGGCAAGGATGAAGCATGGCATTCAAACATGTAAATTTTCAGCACTCAAACATAATGCTAAATGGTCCCGAATCATGCAAACATGGCACTCGATGCATGGAGTAAGCCCCGAAACTCAAAACTAGGCACATGTATTGACTTGTAGCTATACAAAGCATGCATTATTTGACCATGAAGAACAAAGATAGAGCAAAGGCAGTCCCAAAACATGAACATTTCTAGTTCAAAGCATGACCAAAAGATGCTAGCATGATGGACTAAAATAGCATGCAACTTTGACTAGCAAACAGGGTTTACATGGCATTGCATATGAAGCATATGAAATCTCACCAAACCAACAAAAGTCAGTCAATAAAACATGCCAAAATACTTCCAAATAATCATTGAAATGCAGCCAACATGTGCAAAAATGAGGGGCTTCTTTGGAAGGGCATACAAGGGGTAATTAAGCACATGCATCAAGGACATTTAGCATGGCACAACCAGCTCTGGAAATCAAATATGACAGCCCTAAAACTCACCAAATTGACCCTGAAATTGGTCTAGGGAACATGCCAAGAAAGGCCTCTTTGAAGGGCCTTGAATGGGATTGTTCTACACATGCATTGTAGGTATGAAATATGATCAAAAGGGCCTTGGAAAGACCTAAGGCAGACCCTAAAACTCACAGAATGAGGCCTAAAAAGTGACTTCGATGCATGCAAAATAGGGTCCCTTTGGAAGGCCCAAAAGATCCCCAAACAAAACAAGGAGAGAGGGGGTCACCCCCCTCTAATTTCGGCCCTCAAAAATGCATCAAAGCCACTGAAAATTTACTGGATTTAGTGGCTAAGAGGCCAAACCATGGCCAATGCAAGTGCTCTAATGCATGGCCCTAATCATGAAGGAATGAAGCATGAATAGGGGAAGATGACCCCAAACAGAGAATAGACCTTAATCAAACATAAAGATAATATCAAAAAAAGATTTTTTTTAGTTTAGGTTGAGGTCTAAAATGGCTCACAAATAAGGCTGATGTATCATACAAAAACATCCCTAAAAGAGGGATAGAACAAACAGGGCAGAAAAAGGGCTCAAACCGCAAAGGGCCCTTCAACAAAGTTGAAGAGGGGCTCAAAGAAAGATACTTTACAGTTTATAGAAAATCTCGAATATGCTCACAAGTAAGCCTAAAATATGATGCAAAAATAGCCCTAAAAGGAAGATAAAGGGAAAGGGGTAGTAGATGGCCTCAAACAGTGAAGAGACCTTCAACAAAGTTAAAGAAAGACTCAAAATAAGGTACTTCACAGTTTGGCTCGAAGCCCAGAAATGCCCAGAAATAGGTCTAATATATCATGCAAAATAAGCCCCAAAAGAGGGATAAAGCACAAAGGGGGAGTAGAAGACTCCAAACAGAGAAAAGTTCTTAATAAAACATGAATATGAGCTCAAGATAAGACTTTTTTTAGTTCAGTCCGAAGCCCAAAAGTGTAAGCAAAAATGGCTAAGATATTGAACAAAATAGTGCAAAAATGGGGAGAATAGAAGCTTACCCTTGTAGCCTAACTTTCCAGCAGCCTTTGGTCCAAGGAAGTGAGCTTTCAACCTCTGCAAATGACTTCCAAGGGGCTGGAATGGATGATGGTGGTGTGGTTCTATGGGTTGTAGTGTAAATGGACCAAGGAAGTTAGGGTTTGGAGCTTAAAATGGTAGCAATGGAGGGAGAGGTGTATAAGCCTTGGTCAAAAAATGTCTAACCCCTATGAACAAAGAGGAGGGCCTCTCTTATAGAGAAGAGAGGCCAAATCTTCTCTTGGAAGCTTGAAAGATCCTCCATGCACGTGTATGGAGGATGCCCTAAGTGATCTCCAGCTGGCGCAGCTGGATTACACTCAAAGAAAGGAAAAGCAATAAGCAGGCCGGCCAGTTCAAGTGGCCGGCCGGCCACTCCCCCTGGTCGGCCGACCAGGGGTCAAAAGGTTCAAGAACAATTGCTGGTCGGCCTACCCAGAAAGGTGGCCTCCCAGATGAGTAGATCACAACCCTGTGGAGAAAAACCAGAAAAAGTGACCCAAGAGAGAGAAAACCTAGTTTTTAAACAAGGTTCAAAAGGGTCAAGGTGAACTACTGGTCGGGCTACCCATATTGGTGGCCTCCCAGATGAGTAGATCACAATAGTGGTATGAAAAGCCAGGAAATGTGGCTCAAAAGTGGGAAAAGCCAGCTTTCTGTCAGAAAAATCGGCTTTTGGAGAGAGAAAAAGAGGAACCTGGCTTTTCAGGGAAATAGGTGGCCAGCCACCATCCTACCACTTCCCTAACAGTGAAAATAAGGCCCCTACCAAAAATGGACCAAAACGGATGCAAAACGAAGGTTCGGGGGCCAAAACGCGCGGCTCGGGGCCCCGAAAACAGGTTGTTAGGCACCGGAAGTGGCGTATGACCACGATGGTGGTCTCTAGGGCCACAGTGTTCCTCTAAAGGGAGGAAATAAGATGTGTGCCAAAAACCGGAGCAAACGGAGGTAGTTAAGTGGTCCCGAACTGAGGCACACGGCCGATGGCTACGAAAATCGAAAACCGGGCTCCAAACGGGAAAAATAGCCTACGACCACGAAACATAGCCTACGGCTACTGAGAGATGATCTACGAGACCTCTCCCTCCCTTCGGGAAGAGAAAACAGAGAAAACAGGACCTGGTTCGCAAACCGAAGCAAAGCACAAAAGAGCTCCGAAGTCCGGAGGCAAGGCTCGCAGCCGAGACTCTAAAACCTCAAAACGAGCACAAAATGCAACATCACCGAGCGCTCAACTGGTGAC